GTGTATAGGGTTTATAGGGTTTATAGGGTTTATAGGGTTTAGGGTTTAGGGGGTCGAGTCTTCGGATTTAGGATTTCGGCTTAAGGGCTTGACTTTGGATTTGGGGGTGTGGGGGTTGAGATTTCGGATTCAACGGTTAAGCTCTTAGGGTTTAGGGCTCAAGGATTTAGGGCTTGGAGCTTGGGGCCTACCGGGTGCTCACCCATTTGATCTAAACCGAGACCCTGAACCCTGACTTCTGCCTGAGTCCGGGGCCATATCTTCGTTTCGGGGGTGTCGCCGGCGTTGTTGGGAGACATCGTGTCGGCACCTCGGGCGAACCCTGACTCAGGAGCCATTGGCCCTAAACGGCTCAAGGTTCAGAGGGTTTAGGGTTTAGGGTAAACACCTGCAGCCCTGAACCCGAACCTCAAACGCGCGGAACTCCGGCCCTTCCCCCACCAACTGAGAGCCCTGCCGAGCTCTACGAGCTTTGCTAAGCACCAGGGCATGCCGTACATGACCTCAGTGGAGCTTGGGTTTCGTGTTTAGGCTTGCTATGAGGCTCCTATCAGGGTTGCTAGAAGGGTTCTATTGAGGGTTTAGGGTTTAGGGTTTAGGGTGGGAGTTTTGGGGAAGCAGGGATCGGGGCCGTTTAGCGTTGCCTTGTTTTGGGTTGAAGGAACCTGGCTATGCGTGATGGGCGAACACATCGGCATGGCGAGGATGCAACCAGAGACGAGCACAACATCCTAAGTTTAGGGTTTAAGGTTTCACCCCTAAAACTCTAGCCACGATCGCCTACGCACCAACAGATCACTGCAGTTGCTCAGAGAGAAGCAGCTCGGAGCCTGCTGCAGATTCCTAAACATTGAAAAACTGCTTAGGGTTTGGGGTTTAGGGTTTGGGGGTTGAGGGCTTAGGGCTTAGATTAAAGCGTAGATGTGGACGTGTCCAAATGTAGAACTTAAGCACGGTAGGGTCCTCACTAGTCCTCACATCATGACCCCCAAAAGAGGACCATCTGGCTTGAAGAAAACCCTTTCTGGCCAGCCCTTGCGGCATCGCGGGCTCTACAAAACCCCAAAGGACGCTTGTAGGGAGCCTGATAAAGGAGCCCTTTAAGTGCTCCTTTAACGGTTATCAGGGGTTCCTTTTAGGGTTCAACCCTAAACCCTAAACCCTAAACCCTAAACCCTAAACCCTACACCGTATTTTAGGGTTCCTTTTAGGGTTCCTTTAAGGGAAACTCCTTTCAAAGGGAGCCGGGCACCCGGGCGGCGTAATGAGCTGGAAGGTCGCCCATGGAGGTTGGTCTGCTGAGGGCCTCGGGGGTGCTGCGCTCCAGCATCGTGACCTGAGTTCTAGAGTTCAAGAGTTTCAGGGTTTTAGGGGTTCAGGGGTTTAGGGGTTTAGGGGTTCAGGGGTTTAGGGGTTTAGGGTTTAGGGGTTTAGGGTTTAGAGGTTTAGGGTTTAGAGGCTTTGGGTGTAGGGGTTTAATTCGGGTTTTGGGGATTAGGGCTTAGGGTTTAGGAAACCCTAAACCCTAAACCCCCTAAACCCCCTAAGCCCTAAACCCTGAACCGTAGGGCTTTACAAGGCATACACCTTACATTCTCGAGCTGAGAGACTCCGAAGCACCCTTACTTGAGGAATCTACCTCAAGTTCAGTTTCTTTCGGGTTTGTAAAAGGGGGTTACAAGGAATAGACCTTCAGCTATAGACTTAAAGAGAGGTTTAGGGTTTAGGGTTTAGGGTTTAGGGTTTAGGGTTTATACTGACGGATCTATTCCTGAATAAAGGCCTTCTCGAGTCTCTGGGCATCAGGAAACCGTAAAATCCTAAAAACCTAAACCGTAAACCCTAGACCCCAAACCCTACGCCCTAAACCCTAAACCCTAAACCCCAAACCCCTAACCCTAAACCCTAGACCCAAACCCTAAACCCCAAACCCCTGCGACTCCAAGCGCACAAAAAAATACCTACTTTGGGGGTCTAGAGTCTCTAAGCAGCAACTAATTTCGGCCGTCGGGAATCTGGAGGCTAGGGCGGTTTAGTGTTTAGGGTTCAGGGTTTAGGGTCTAGGGTGTAGTGTTTAGGGTTCAGGGTTTAGGGCGTAGGGTTGGTTTAGGTTCAGGTTTTGGGGTTTTGTTTGTGGTGGGATGCAGGGTTTATGGTGGTTTAGGGTGTTGGCTCGCCCTTAAGCCTGAACCCCGGTTTCAGGGTCGGAGCTTGAGAGAATCCTTCTGCTGGGTTTTGGGTTTAGGGTTTGGGGTTTGGGCTTTAGGGTTTAGGGTTAAGGCTTTAGGGTTTAGAGCTTAGGGTTTAGGGCTAGGGCTTAAGGCTTATTGCTTAGGGCTTAGGGTTCAGAAGGGCTCGTTTTCAGCCTTGCATTGCGGATGCACTACGATTTGACCGAAGTCTTTGCAGCAGGTGGATTCCACCCAGCCTCAAGGCTTGGTAGCAGGGTGGGAGTAGTTTAGGGTCGAGGGTTGAGGCTTTAGGGTTTAGGGTGACAGAAGGTTTCGGGAATCTGGTCTAGGCGTTAGCAAGGCGTTAGGATTCTCAATATTGAATACGGGTAGTTGTCTTATTCAGGGTCCCATCGGGGTCCCTACAAAGTGGCTCCCCAAATAGAACGTCACCCTGAGAAAAAGGACCTTGACAGGGACCCCGATTCAGAGAACCAACCATATGTTAGATGCAAGATGCAGGGAGGGGTAGAAGAGAAAACTTGACCGAAGGAAGCCATAACTCCAGAACCGGCAGAGTTTCTATGGCCGGTGTGGGTTGACCAACAACACGAACATGGCCGGTAGGAGTCGTCGGTTTAGGGTTAGGGTTTAGGGTCTGTCG